TGCCTCTGTAGAAGACTAGGGACTTCTTAAGACCAATGCATTTGGTGCTATCAGATGAATAAATTGGCCTGTCAGTTCCAGTAGCCTTCCAAAAACCAGCTCCTGTTACACGGTTAGGACGGGCACTATTCCTGTACTTACGGTCCCTTGGACAGTAAAAGTACCACTCTTTTTCCCCTGTAGATGCTAGCTCTGGACAAAAAATGGTATGACAAGGAAATATTAGACTATGGTTCATAATTGTTACGAATGAACCTGGCTCAAAATCAAATCAAATTTCATGACCAAACAAATATTTGAAGATAAAATTTTCAAAATCTGATGGACAAACTCTAGCTCACTATATTTAACATCCATAAAAGTTAGATAATCAGTAACATGAAAAGTAAAACAATTTAGTTGCTACTAAGAAATTAGAAATGAAAAATGAACCTAAAGTGTATGAAATGCAGAGTTTCTTACTTGGAAGGTCCCATGGATCATATTTATATATATCGACTTGCTTGATGAGCTCAATAGGAAGAGATCTCTGCTGAATCTTTCTCTTTAGGTAGAACCCAACCAGCTCTTCATCAGTCGGATGAAATCGAAAACCAGGCAGCATCACTTCATCAAGCTTTTCCACATCACTTTTGTCATCCATAATTTCACTAGTAAAAGTCTCAAGGCAAAGATTAGATTGTGATTGTAGTTTAGAGCAAATTGACAGGCAATATTGTCCCTTAAAAATGATAGCAAGGGACCAAATTTATGATCTCGAAAAGACTACAAAGTTAGTGTGTATGGAGATATGTTTTCACACCTTCCATGATGTGCTTATTGTTGGCTAATCCTTTATATTCTTCTGAGTTCTGGAAATCTAAACAAAATGACAAGTCAATCTTCTAATGAAATTAGTGCATGCTAATATTATATATAATATGTTGGGAGTTTGAATAGTTTTTTGTTTATCATGCATTGCCAATGTTTTGTGTACATCCTCTGATTAAATTATGATTTTTTAGGTCATTGGATCTAAAAATAGCAGTTTCTATTCTCTGATATAAAAAATTTCTATTCTTTCTGTCACCTACGACCACGTGACCCTTCCCCATTTAATATCTTCGATAGCTAGAGATTCATTAAACAAAAAATTTGAAAATACTACTACTCGTCCGTCCATTTTTACTTGTCATATATTTAATCATGATTAAGTTTTATTTTAATCTCACTTTAATTAAATTGTTTGGTATGGTAAAAACACTTGATACATATAAGTATATTTAACCTGGTCCTGGTTGTTTGGACTGATAAAAGGCTAAAGTTGGATAAGGCAATACTCGTCATAAAATGTTGTCTTAAGTGTTTGTCTTGTAACATTTGTCTTTTCAAAAAATCCATTTATGCAGTCGAATTCTAATTACTTCTTATTCCAACTTGGTTGCTAAAACATATATAGAATTATGGAATTCATGTTCTATATGTGAGATAATGTTACAGAAGATAAAAATTAGAATTCTCCAATACTTGGTTTACCATGAAGTATCTGTATTACTTTGAAGCTCTGTACGTAGAAGAGGTTAAGATGATACAAATAAATATATTTTCTGGCTATTTTTACTTGTTCAAGTTTGACATGACATACCTTGTAAAAAGTAAATAAAAATGATAAGTTTACTATACCATCTTTTGAATATACTAGTAATAAATCCACTGTTTTGAAAAATGCATTAGGAAATGAATAGTATTTTCTCCGTTCACTTTTACTTGTCCACTATACTAAAATTAAATGTTCATTTTTTACTTGTCCAATTTGAAAAACCCAAACATAAATTATCACTTCGTTCCTAATTTTCTCTTATTATTACCTACAATAATTTCTCGAAACATTGAATTAAGTATATTCAAAGGATATTATATTAAACTTATCCATTTAACAATTAGTTTTAGAGCTAGGGGTGTTCCAAATCAAACACGAACAAGTAAAAATGGATTTCTCAATTTTATTTTAAACTGTACGAGTAAAAATGGTCTGAGAATGTATTTTATTTAAAGAAATGGGAAATTAATAAAGTTGAATGAGAAGATTGGTGGATCTGGAAATTTACGTCATGAGTGCATTGTTTTAGGTTGGAATTTGTACAAGGGTTGAGTATATTTCAAGACTAGGTTAACCACATATGATATAGATTTAATTACCAGTGTCTAATTAAGTGGTGCGCATGTGCAAACTATATATATACCAAGGTAAATACTACTTATTGCAGTTCACCAAACATTAAGCAACGAGCAGCTCACCTACTAGATATATACTATATCGTTGACTGCTTCTCTAATCTTTTCATCATTATTTCTATTATTGGAAAAAAAACATATTTACTAGCTAATTAGCTAGGCGTCATCCAACAACAAAAGAATTTTAAAACTCAAAATTACATTGAAAAGGAAATATTTAAGCTAAATTACATCATATCGATCTTCATTACATAAAAATAGTACTCCAATTAGTACTGAAAATGAATTGAAGCTTTCCCATAGTTGCAATCATTTATCATCAATACACATAAGCCTTATATAGACAATGTTAAGTGGAAACCTTGCATAAGATTGCTAACCCCATGTCTGCTGGCTGAAGAGCATATAATTAAGAAATAAGCAATCCATAATTAATAATTAATGGGGGAATTGAAGTTCTTCAATACCAACTCTTTTAACGTTTCTGGTTTTGGTTGGTTAATTTCAATTTCCAATTTAAGGAGCAAGTCAAAGTTCATCTTGTAACCTGAGCTAACCACACTCTTTCTCTGTGTCAATTACATTATTATAAACGATGTGTTAAGAGGATTGAGTAGTAGTAAAATTGTAATTATTGCCCAGGAACGTAGGGATAGTGTTTTACTTTGTAAAATAAACAAAAAGGTATAGCCTTGCGAGAATTTAAGTTTAATGAGTTTAACCATTAATATTATGTTTATCGGAAATAACTCTACCTTTGAGATAGAGGTAAGATCTCTGTACACTCTACTATTTCGAGACTCTATGCACCTTATGAGATTATACTGAATGACGATGATGTGTGAGTCGGCTGAAAAAACACAACCTTAACACGTCTTTTTGGATTGTAATTTTAGAAAGTGATAATGTTGTTTGATTTAAAGATTTTGTACATTACTCTAGATTGAGATAGCCCACAAAGACTAGTTGATTGGTTTTGTCATTATACATCGTTGGCAAATCAATTAACATCACCAAAAGAAAAAATAATATTAGACATAAATATATTGATGGAATCTTGAGGGGGAGAAATTATTTTAATTTGCTTCTAAAGTTAAGAGACGGTTTTCACGAATAAACTAATACTCTCGTTGTGAGACGTTACATAAATATATATAGTAAGGTTAAGATTTAATTAAGAATATTTGGTTTAATATATTATTTATTTTTAGATAGAATAATTGTACTTAATTTAGAAGTTTCATATTACAGATCAATCCTACTCTGCCAGCACTAACAGGATCATTTTTGTTGGAGAAAAATAGAACCAACATATGTGATTTTGACACCATGTCTGAATCTTTAGAGCAAAAAGATTGAATTTTTAATGGATTTAAAACGAAACTTTACAGCATGAGTTCAATGCATCTTCAACTTCTAAGGTTCGTTTGGGTTCCTTAGAGGCTAGCTAACGCCTACAAAAAAGAACATGTATTTTGCTTGAAAATGCATTTCAAATATCGCAAATTGAGTATTCATGATAAAAAAGATCAAAATATCAAATAATTGTCTTTCTCAAATTTGAAGTAATTAAAAGGGGACATTCCTCAAGATCAACCCGACGTTAATTTTAAGCGATCAAATACAACCTCCAATAAATTATCCCACTTGAGAAATACGTTTCTAACGACCCTCAAGGTAAAGAGAAAATTGTGAGAGAGACTCAAAGGAATATAATTATTATACTTACAAATATTCATGAATAAAATATATGTTTTTTCATATTTTGTGTGATTGCAATTAATTTTTCATCACTGTAAAATTCGCTGCAAACAGTGTCATTCTATTCCTTGTGTAGTATTCGTTGTCTTATGGTTACATCATCGAACATCAATCTTCAAGTAACAAGACATTTTAGACTTAATTATATCAAATTTTGGTTTAGTTAATAATGACTGCTATTTTGTTACATAATAATACAAAATTACAGTTACTAGAGGACCCATCCATTGTTTATTAAATTTATGGTTTCATCTGTGAAAATAACAGGATATAACACACCAAATAATTGTAGAAAAAAAAAACATATGTTGATGTTAACTTGAACAGCATCACCAAGATTATAACCTCTATTCACATTCATCCACCCAATAGTTAGCCGCAACATGAGGCGCCACACAGATTATTTAACTTCCTTTTTGGCGTTTGCATGAAAGTTGTTTGTATATAAATATTTCATAAGTGATCTGATTGTTTAACTGTTAGCGTATTTTGCATTAAGGTTGAAGGGATTGCGATTTATACACTTTCTGGGGATAATGTTTTCGTACATAACGTTCTATCCTTTATAGTACGCCTCACTTATGGAATTACATTGAACGTGTTATTGTTGTTTGTATATAGTATGAGCCTTCTGATTTTATGAATTTATTCATTTACCCTTGTATTAATTTGGATTTAATAAGTGTGGTTAGCTCTTCATAGTGGATCCACATATAGTACGACTTCATTAATTTTTCCTTATTGTGTGAATAAATAAGATGGAACTTTACAACACATAACATACCAAATAATTGAACTTGCAATTTTAGATGATGACGAAGGAAAATAATTAGTACTCAAATGAATGAGTTTGTCCAATTTGAGCGCATTAAAATGACTTGAGTTATTAAATGTGTGAATTATTAATTTACTCTAAGTTTGGACGAATTGGGCAGATCATATTCTGTGAATTAATGTGTATGATGATAATAAGAGTACTAGAGAGATAAACAAAAGAGCTAGCTAGGTAGACATATTTACTTTTATAACATTGTTAATATTTAATACATACACACAACTCACAATTGGGAGTACAATTAGAAGTATATATTTTGCACTCGTTATTACACTTAGGTTAATATTGCATTTGCAAACGCTTCCTTCCATACTATTTATTGTCCACCCATGATCTCAAGGAACGCTGCAATAAATAAATAAATAAATAATTCCAAGTAAAGAGAGAAACTAATTAATTCGTCTGTCATTGTATATAAGTTAAATTCAGAATTACCTTTTGCAGTTAGTAGTAGGAGAGATTGGTATAGCAGTAGTAATACCACAGCGTGAAGGGAGATTAGATGCAGCATCTGGTTTAAGATTAGAGTAACGAGCTGCAGCAGCTTTCATACATTCACAAGCATCTTGCCTGTCTTGTTGTGTTGGCGTTAGTTGTACAACTTTTTTCACACCATCACAACATGAACCTGATGGATCTCCACCTTGTGTCAAATAAGGCACACAAGGAGCTACTGCTCCACCAACTTCACCACAATTTATCGCTTCTCCTAGTTGCACTACCAACATAAACAAACTCACTAAAACTGCAGCTCCCTTCATTTTTTTATTTGTTTTATAATTCAATTGTAGGTCTATGTTGAGGAGATGGAGCAGAGTATTTATACTAGTTGCGGCGGGGACAGATAGCTTTATCGTATTTTTGATGCAAAATCTAAATTTATATGTAAAAATTCATTAAAATTGCAATAAATAATAAGTTTGAGCCCATAAATTTAAATTCTGGATCCGCGTTTGCAAGCGACAAGATCCATTATATTATAGGTGGAACATGAAAAGCGTGTTGGGGATATAGTAACGCTTGCGGAAATTTGGTCTTTTAATTCCTTTTTAGGGTGTCGTTTTGTTACTAATTTTAGCAAATTGGACATAACTTTTTCATTTCCTTCCACATTTTGGAACTTTGTAGGTTGCGTGCATGTTGAAGGAAGGATTTCAGGGAAAGAACCGGTCGAGCTCTTTGTGAAGAATTATTCACGTGAATACGGAGTACTACTTTGTAATTTAACATTATCAATAGGTGCTATTAATTAAATAGATTCACCGACAATTATATAAAGTGAATATTTTAAATCGTCAATACATAAAATGGTACTACTAATTTCAACCGTTTATTACTTATATATATATGTGAGTTTTATAGTGAAGACCAATGCCAAAATATTGTTGATGTTATTACGTCGTAACTAGTACTACTAAAGTCTCATAAAATCTAAGTTTTATTTGTTTTACTCGAATGTGTTTGGTATGCTTGATTAAATTATTTTCTATTACTTGATTATGTAAAATTATTGCATCAAAAATGAAGAAAACTGATTTCCGTCACTAATAGGCATAAGTCATGTTTCTTTTGGATTATTTACAATTTCCACCTTATATATAAGTTAAATTAATTACCTGAACATCCAATCAAACACAAAAAGAAAACCTACCTCGAAAATAATTTTTCAAAGAAAAACATTATGCGTTATCCCAAATACACCAAATCAAATTTTTTTTTTCTAAACACTTTGCTCGTGCGTACACTAGTTCCATTACACGTATAGTTCTTTTCTCACATCGTATTAAATTTATCAACCACATCTTCATATATTTGTGTTCTCTAATATTAATATATACCTCAATATATTATTCATGTTCTTTGCTTTCGAGAGAAGACGTTTGATAAGATTATTTACATGTTCTCCACTACTCAACACTATCTCTATCATATTCTTATAGTTCTGTCACAAAAGTAATATACCTAATGTATATTCATAAGTAGAGTCTGAAAAAGGTATAGTGTATACATACTTCACCCTACCTCATAGAAATAGAAAGACCGTTTCCAATAGATCCCTGACTTAATAACGCATTTCTACATTGTTATAGTTCGTTAAAAGATTAAAATTTGCCAGCTACATAAATTGAGAGATTGAGGCCCATGCCAAGTTTACTTTCGATGATGGGATATCGTCATCGCCCTTAATTGGCCTTCACCAGAACTACATGATTATTACAAAAATTGCTGCATAATAAGGAGTTGAAAAATTGTGGACATCCAAATCACTCAGTCCGAGTCCATAAATAAATTTAAAATCATTTCTGGTGGAACCTTTAAGTTTGTCAAAACAAATCTGGAATTACCATTCTACAGTTGGCTACTTAATATAGTAATATTGAACCCATTTTCCAGTTCAAGTTGCCCTGTATTCTCTTTGAGACTTATAAGCTTATCTAGTTCAGAAGGAAAAATTAAAAATAAAATGGATGCGTTGTACCAACAAACAACTGTCATTAAAACCCGCCTGGGCACCAAGTGACTTGATAAACATTCAAACTTACATAGCGACAAGTTCAGGGCCCAACAAATCCCGAAAAAATCACAGGTTCAGTGCCTGTGGCTTCTTCAAGCCAGATAACGATACAACTTCCTATCGGTTTTATCCCTCTCCAAGAATTCACGCTCAATCAAAGACTCAATTCGTTTCTTTATGACAACAGGGTTTGGCAGGAATCGAGACTGTAGCTGCTTTGTTACTTCGGCAACTATATTGTTGTGATCTAGCACCCTCCGAGATTTCATGATTCTGACAATTGCTGCCTCAATCTGAGGTTTTCGGTCCTCCTCCACTCTCTGCCTAGTCTCCTGTTTCTCAGGCTCTGACTCCTTTTGTGCAACAACAGTACCTATCTTCACCTTGTAGAACTTGCTCGAAAATTTATCATTGAAGTAAAAGGCATCATCTTCAGCAATATCCTTGCTCATTGGCTCCTTCCTCAAAACATTCTTCCCCTTGACACAAGCGAGAGATTGTAAGCACCTCTTTAAGTCTGAAGCTGGTATTTCTGTAGCCTGTTCAATTTCTTTGTAACTCATTCGATCCGCTTTGTTAAACAACATAAGGATGCACATCTGATAAGTGGAAACATTAAGCTCATGCTTCTGTCCCTTTCCAAATGTAGCTTTCAGATCAGCAGTCCCCATATTTGTCTGCCATGACAACCTCCTACCCGTATGGGTCCCCAGATAGTATGTCTTGAACCTATCACAGACCCCTAAGATTTCCGAAGGAAGATTGCAAGTATTAACAGATTGTGTTGGCCAGGACCCAGTAGTAAGAACCTGGACAGTAAGTGAAGGACCCTCTGCAAGATCAGCACCCGCAGCAGCATGAAAACCCTGCATTGTATCCTGTGAGGTCTTCATATCAGTAAACATGCCTTCCAGTTTTGAGGTGAACTGGTACCCGCATTCTGTTTTAAGCTTAACTATCAAACTTCTCTCTGCGTCATCAGATACCGTCTTCCCTGAGAGTAGCCTCTTTGCCAAGTGCTGCTTGTAGTACTTCTCAAACACATCTTTCTCCTGAAGGTAGCGGAAGAGCATCATCACTTTGTCTAATATGATCTCTACATCCTCCTCAGTAACCCCTTTCAGCCCTTTCCGAAGTTTGTCATCCACAAACAAAGAGATGAACTCTGGTGATCGTGGATTCAGATTAATGAAGAACTCAAATGAGGAATTGAGAGCATTCTGGAATGTTTTGTCATTGTTAAATGCTGAACTAATGATCTTATCATGCTTATCCTTCTCATCCAAAAGCCTCTGCACAAAGTCTACAGGATCCTTCAACTTTTCTGGATCAGTGACAAGCTGCTTACCAATTTCTCTAATATGAGAAGTCATGACATCTCTAATCAGTGCGAGCCCAGTTGACACTCTTCGGAACAAGTTGTACATCCTTCCTAAATCTTCGTACTTGTCATTTACGATCATATTCACTAATCCCGAGTTCTCCATATGAACCAGCCTGTGCATATGGCTTTCAATCATCTCTTTCTCCACGACATTAGTAAGTTTGGGTTCACTTTTTGTATCTAGATAGTGGGACACTCTTTCAATCTCTTCGATAAGACGTTTCTCAGCTTTCTTCAGATAATCCCCACAATCACAGCACTCAATGTATTGCTGAGACTCAAGCCGATAGAAATCAGCCGAGACATCAAGAAACGGCTTTTCAAAGTCTTCTTGGTATACTGAAGAACCTAAATCCATTAGCATTTGTATTACATTCCTCATCAAACCCCTGTTTATCACTTCACCGGTCCTCTCATGCTGAACTAGTTCAAGAAGTGTGTCCTGAAGCCTTTTGTGTATTTTGCTAGAGTGGATGATGTTGTCTCTCCATAAATTCAAACCAAGCTCATGAACAGGTGTTTTATGTGTACTGGGAATGAAAGTTCTATCCATATACATCAATATATCTCGAATCATTTGCAGTGCCTTGTTATGCTCTGCCCATATCCGATTCAGTTCTTCAAGAAACAGCCCTCCCTGAGTAGATTCAATATGTTTTGCAATTTCCTTCAAATGTGCTGTCATAGTTGACACAAGTCCTGAATAGAGCTTCTCCCCAAATTTGTGTAGTACCATGTTATATGCATTTCTGCAGATGTCAGATAATAAGAACATCAAAGTAACAAGACGGCTATTCAAGAAGAAAAAATTATCAAAATAAAGGTGGCAGATCGCCTCCTTAAATACAAGAAATAGAACTTGTCACTAAGCTCAATTACAGAAGAAAAAGATTAAAGCAAGTAATTTTATAAATATCTAAACCCCCACTCCCCAATAAATGGTATGTGAAGTGATATATTGAAACTATCTGTTCATGTCAACTGGGAAGCTGTATGGTTTATGCACCAAAACATTTGGCAAAAAAGTTAACAAGTTCTAGGATTTCAGTCAATATCTATAATGATGCAATCAAACTACATCAAGTTTTCAATAGATATCTACTACATCTGTTACTAAACTACTGGCATATTATTTTTCTTTTGACAATAAGTGCTAAACCACCTACATTATACCTAACAGAATAAGCAGGAATAGTTTGGACTTAAAAGGGCAAGGATAAACTTGCACTTTGCACTTAAAAGACATAGACACAGCTAACAGTGTGTACTTAAAGGAGGAGCACACTTCCATATAAATTATCACATTGCTATTTAGAAGTCTAACAGGAAGAGAGACCTTTTACAGAGATATATACTCCACTTATTAGAAGTAAAACCTCTCAGCTCAATCTTCAACAAGAAACGTTATGTGCGGGATTTTTTGTGTGAATCTACAAACACTGTGTATGTGTCCCCCTAAACGACAGAATAGTATCTCTATATCAAATTGCATTTCCTTCCCCTCAAATGAAAATATTCGCGCAAAATTAACTGCAACGATTAAACTTACTTAGGTGGAATGAGGTAACTTTTTCCTCTTGATAAAATAAGAACATCTACATTTGACAAACCAGCGTGAAGTAATCAGCTTTTTATGTTGCATCAAAGTCAACCTAACCTTGACTCACATTGTAATAAATTATGGTCAAAATTGTGACCACAAATCCTCCTCTTGCAACCATCAGCATGGAAAGGAGCCTGATCGGGTGGAACAAAGAGGTATTAAATAGAAAAGCACATTCAAAAAAACAATTATTTAGGGTTCTCTAATATACCAGCCTACAAATAGACTAAATGGACTAATACCAATTAACTAGTTAAAATC